GAAGATTTTCAATCTTCGGTCTATGAAGATCTTCCTTCAATCGGCTTGTAGCTTCAAAATATTTTCAATATACATTTCAGCTACTTCGGAATCTTGGTGTGTATATTAGACAGTTGATCCACAACACTGCATCGGTGACCTTCTGTCTTCACATCAGCTAGTCTTCGATTTTGCCAATGGCTTTAAGTATGTACCAAGACACCAACTTACAAAGAACCAATAACTACTAAGTGTTGCTAAGGTAGAGGAACAGATCAGTGGGTCATCACCAAATCAATAGGTGACCCAACAATTGTTTCATCAACAGCTTGTTGAATGAAGAACAGGGCATTGGCATCTTTGTTTAGGATCTCCTTGTTTGCTGCTTCTTCTGATCCTTCAGTAATGCCCTAATCAACTAAATCCCACAGATCTTAGGATTTAAACAACGTTTTCATTTTGATACTCCAAAGTTTATAGGAGTCACCTTTGAAAACCGAAATATGAGGTTGGGATGCATTAATAGTAGAGCTTCCTAAGGCCATGGGTTTCTTTTAAAGTTCTTGCTGCAAAAAGAAGTATTAATAATCGAAGCCTAGATTGCAACTTGGCTCTGATACCAAGAATGTTAGAAATTGATAGAGCAAGAAAGTATTTGGTGGTGCGAAAAGATTATCTTTATTGAAAGAGTAAGAGCCTTTTTATAGGCTTCACAGAGAACAACTAACTTGGCTACAAATCAGGAAATAAATCTGCAACTAACGACTAGAAAGCAAAAAATAAAAATAAAAAACTAAATCAACCATGATATTCCTTTACTTCAGCAACAAACTTTGAATTATTCAACTCTCAATAACGGGGCAGGTCGAGGACCACGTTACCATATCCCGTCCCCATCCTTTATTTTTAACTTTTGGAGATCTTTGGTTTCAATGAGACAGGTCTCATTCTCATGCCTATATAGATTTTCAAAGTGAAATGGTAGAGATAATAAATGTTATTGTCTTTGTATGGAATTCTAAGCAGCAACAAAAAGGTTGGATTTCAACGGGAGTAATTAAATGTTCGACTAAAACCCAATGAAACATGGTGTAGGACATACAAATATACGATCTTGGATCACCAAATATAAGGCACCATGATCTTCGTGGGACTTTATTCAAGAGATATTATACATTTTTATATGAAGCATATGCATACGATCCAACGAGCAGTTGACGATCCAACAAGCGGATTCCTTTTTCGGGATCATGAGACGTGATCCAATGAGCGTTTGACGCTTAATTTATGCTTTCTTGGAGTGCCTTTCGCAAAAGGCTTTAAGCCTCTTGATACCATCCTGAAGATACGAGGGCTCGATAGCATATGTTATTCGTATCCAGTTCTTGAGTCCTACAACTACACCTGAAGGAGAAAGCAGAAAAATTTAAGGATGACCTTTTAAGGTCAAACAAACTAATTTCAACTTCAAATTAAAAAATTCTTAAGATTTCGATAAAATCATGATACTGGCAGTAAACTATATAACGCATCCCGTAGATGAAAATATCCTCGGGTCCATAGCATAGCAAAATGACGAATAAAAATCATTTGCCCCCAAACTTCATATCCATCAATCGTTTTAAGACATCATGACATATTGAAAACGGAGAATAAAAAGATAATTAAATAAAGTAACTTTGTCTTCGAATGATTAATGGGACGTGGATTTTGAGGACAAGTGATTTTTATTCCAAAATTTCATATACGATTATACATTAATGATATTGAAAAGTGGTATGTTTGACCTTCAAAATCAAAGCATGCCTTGTCTTTTTCTTATATAAATAAATGGAATAAACCAAACCAAGCACACCTAATTTGTTCCACTCGAAAGTAGGGTCGGGAAGATGAAATGTATGCAGGTCTGTCCTCTACTCCAAATAGTACTACTTACAAATATAAATGGAATATAAACTACTAAAGCATCATCCAAGAAAGAGATTGAACTAACATTAAATCTTACCTGGTAGGATTATTAGCGATTCTTCTTTAACAAGCTTGACGCAGAATTCCAAATCATCCTCAATGTCCTCAAAGGCCGATAAGTCTAATTTGACCTTTCAAATATAAATCACAAGTAAGACAAGTCTTGCATTTCACAACTCAAAGACATGATACTATAACATAGAATATATGAAATCTTTGAATATAGTCTATGTACTTACCATAACAAACATTGATCCAGCAGGCTTGCTCGGGCAAATTATACCAGGGATGTCTTTGATGCCTTCATAACAAGTATTTGCATCTTCTTTTATTAAATTTACAATTTTTGCAAAGAAATCGTCTTGTGTTTTCCCAAGGATATCTGAAACCGCTCCCTGCATGTAAACAAAGTCGAGATCAAACAAAAGGGGGAGTATGCAATATCAAGTCCAATGGTGGATGCATTCCAAAAGGATGTGTAGAGAATTTTGGGTCAAAAATAATTTATCAGAGATATAATTAAGACAGTATGACGTATTAGTAAGAAACCTGAATAAATGTTGGAGGGTCACAGGATATATTGAGATATCCTGTAATGCATTCAATAATCTGAAAAGAAAATTAAAATTAGCATGATGAATATATATGAGTTTGCTCAAGCCGCATGTGTATCCATGTAAATGTGAGAAAGAGTACCCCATGTTCCTTAAGTATGCCATTAGGATCATTAATGACAAGCCATCCAAGCCGCCAACCAGGAACAATCCATCTTTTTGAAATAGAACCCAGTGTAACGACAGGGGTAAATGATCCAAAGACTCCCATCGGAACAAAAGGATTTTTCCCAAAAGTAATATGGTCATAAACTTCATCAGAAATCACTAATATCCCAAGCTTTTTGGCAGTCTCAGCAACCTAACAAAGAAAACACATTTTTATACTGATCATAATCATAGATTCATAACTCCTGATGATCTAATCACAATACAACCAAATGGATTCTTTCATGACCAATTAAAAAAGAAAAACAACAAAAACATGTGTGTATACCTTCTGTAGATGTTGATATGTGAAAACATTCCCACAAGGATTTCCAGGGTTAATTATGACCATGGCTACTGTGTTTTCATCTGCAAGAGCTTCAACTGCATCAAGATCAACCTCCCAGTCTTTATCTGGAAGAAGATCAAAGTGACGGGCTTCCAAATGGCATGATTGAGCAACGGCTTCATAATATGGAAACCCTGGTCTTGGGAGTAAAATGTTTGCTTTGGAATTCGCAAGCACCGTTATTATGGTTTGAATCGCTTGTATGCAACCTACTGTCAAGAATACATCATCTGGTGATAACTTATTTGGAAGACGTTGTGAAAGGTACTCTGCTACTGCCCTAATACAAGAAAGATATTAAAGTTATACATTTTCAGAAAGATATTTTAACTCTAGAAAAAGGTCTGTACTAAGAAAGATTCCTATGAAAATTGACAGTAGGAATCAGATCTTACCCAGCCATCCAAAAACCAGAGACAAAAAGAACACATTGAGATGTAAAAAGCATATTGTTTCACTTAATATGCTTTCTGCTACATGTAATGGTTTTGTTATATAGACCTCTCTCTCTCTCTCTCTTTCTCTCTTTATATATATATATATATATATATATATATATATATATATATATATATATATATATATATATAAATCTGGTCAAATCTTAAATTGAAAATGTAAAAAGTAAGACCCCACTGGCACTGAAAATTAACAATAAGTAACTTCCATGGAAGAAATGAAAATGAAACTAAGAAAGTCCCCAATGGCACTGAATCTTCATTCAAAAACTATACGAATTACTTCATGTGAATCTACGTCTTTGTGGTACTTTAAACTTCAATAACGAGCCCAGAAAAGAGATAGAAGACCTCATGGACTCTGATTTTGCAATCAGTAAACTATATAAGGAAAAAGCAAAAAACCACAAAATAATTGCATATTGCAATATACAACAAATGCAGTACTCTTTTCAATGCCGAAACAAGTGCAGCGATTTCAATTTTCAGATTTCCGGATAAAGGTTCACTCTGGAACTCCAATGCTCGGCGGTACTGATGGCAATTAGTTCAATTCCATAGGGATTCCTCTATTATGTAGTTAAACGCTTCGATTAGTAATTGTTTCGGGGTCATCTGTTGCACCAATTTGAAGATTAAGGTAATTGGAAGTCGAAATCAGAAAACCCAAGCAGTAACCGATCAGCATTGACGTCACAAATTACATACATTACTGGCAAAGATAAAGCAAAATTTTAACGATATAAATGTGCGATTGACAACACACACAATTTCTTATATCTCAAAAAGCAGAAACAGACAAATGGAAGCTTTGATTACGTGTACGATAAGGATAAGAGTAAGAGGAAGTACCTTCTAGCAGGAAGAACACCGACCGTAGGTGAATAACCATTGAACTTGGCAGAACGTACGGCATCGACGATGGCATCTTCTGCAATCTGAGTAGTACGAAAGCAGGGGAAAGCAGAAGGATCGCCATGGCCGAGAGGGATGACGTGTCTGACATCAGATTGATTGAGATTGGAAATGAGCATCTCGAGGACGCCTCTAATGGTGATCTCCGATGCCGTATTCAGCTCTGGATTCGGCTGAAATCCCCATTTCTTCTTCAACGTTGACCCGTTCTCCATCCCTCTCCACTCGATGAATGTTGGCGAGAGTGAGTGAGTGGTGATTCTGTACTAATGAAAAGAAACGAATCTTGGTTATTTACAAAACGAACCCTGAAGTTTGTATTTTAGAACCATTTTAACCCCTGAATTAGTTACGTCTCATTTTAGAAATGAATCACTTCTCATTTAATACGGAATCTACAAGTAAGCAATCTCTTTCCATTAATATTTAAACATATTATATTGTTTTTTAATCAAATATAATATTCTCAGTATATTTTTATTTTACTTCTGATTATATTAATTTTCAATAGTAACATATATTATTTTCACTAACCATGATTAATTCTAAATAATATTATTTTATTTTTTATTTTGTTGATATTATTGTTTGTCTATCAGAAAAAAGAGTTACATTATGACAAACATTTTAAAAAAATAAACATGTATTTAAATATGATAATTGATTTTTTTTAAATAAACTAAGGGGCCGTTTACTAAACGTTTACCCAATAAGTACTTACCAGGTAATTTTCCTTACTGGTTGGACATGGCAAGGGCCAAGAATCTTACCCGACAAGAACGATAATAATGATGGAGAGTATTACCAAGTAAGTGAGGGTGACGACTCTTACCCGGGTAAGCGCTTGTCAGGTAAATTGTCGCATGGGATATGTTTTGATCCACTGCAATTTTATCCAAATAAATAAATTATAGTGTTGACTCCTAACAATAAACACTTACCGAATAAGTATTTAGGTAAAGAGCCCCAAACTAAAACCTTAGTACAAATACAAAATAAAGTAGGTACTTCTCTTGATGAAGATGTTGAAAGGGAAATTGATTTTGGAAGGATTCATGTTATCAATAGTTCAAAATCAATGTTTTTATAAAATTTTATATAAAATAGGGCAAAATGCGCAAAATAGCACCTACTTTTACAAATTTCTTTATTATAGCATTTTACTTTCAATTTTTCTTATTACAGCAATGTACTTTCAAAATATTTTTTATTAGGGCATTGTACTTTCAAAATTTTACCCATTATAGCATTGGGTAACCTGTTACCTTTTATTTACCCATTATACCAGGTTTCTTTGCCACCTCATCGTCCACGTAGGCTGTCCACTTGTACGATAGTGCTGACATGGCATTTTTTATTACAAAATTGTACTTTCAAAATTACTTTATTATAAGATCACCAATTTCTATTACAACATTATACTTTTAATTTTAATATTTTTGTCATTTAAACATTGTAAATTTAATGGCAAAATGCGCAAAAAATATAATATCATAAATTAAACATGTTTATAAAAGATCACTATTTCACGAATAAAAATATCCAAAAAAAATCATTCATTCATCGAGTTCATCGTAAATTTCATGGCTTACTTTGTATTACCAAAACCTAAACATGTAGACATCTTTTCAACAAAAAAAACCTCATATTTACATTCGTCTAACAATGTTATTTAATCAAGTGGAACCGCCTTGTCACAACTACTACCTTCTCCATCTTTCTCAACGGTATTTTTCCGTAAGTTGTTCAAGATTATCCTTTCACTTGGCCTCCTTTTTTTTGGGATGAGCTTTGCTCGTGATTCCACTTTAGATGGTTCCTGTACAAATTAGTGAAGAAATTAGTATGCAATTGATATATAAAATTAGTATGAAACTCGAAGATTTTACATTACCTTTCTAACATCCCTTTGTGAACCCGTTCCGCCTCGTGCACCCCTTTTACTGCTTTGTCCATGTAAATATCCCATCTTTAGTTAATTGTTTGTGTGTTAAAAGATCGCAATTGGCTGTTTCTAATCTTCTATGGCGTCAGTTTGGTAAGTTCATAACTCTTTGCATCAATATAAGATTTAACACAATCTCTTTAACTTTTAATTGTGTAATTAGGGGCCATTTACCAAACACTTACCCGGTAAGTGCTTACCTGTAAAATTTAATACTATTATTTACTTAACGGGTAAGATTTTAGTCCACTAAAACGACATCATATGCAATAATTTACCCGGTAAGCGCTTACCATGGTAAGAGTCGTCGCCCTCACTTACCAGGTAAGACTTTTGAACCTTGTCTCGTTCTTACCAGGTAAGATTATTGGTCTTTACCATATTCATGCAGTGAGGTAATGTTACTTGTTAAGCGCTTACCCGGGTAAGCGTTTGGTAAACGGCCCTTAGTGTGTGCTCAATATTTCCAACTTATATATTGTACACACGATAATCTTGGTAACGAAGAGAATGAGTAAGAGTAATCTGTCGAGTTGCATTAATATTCTACTTCTACCATAAAAGTCATGCGCACACAAGATGAGCAGATTACATGCAATGTTCTACCAGAAAAGCCATTTAGGTATCATAATATTTCTTTGATTGTCTCTGTTTATTTTGGATTACTTTGGGTCTCCACACTTTGGCATGCAGGATGGAAGTTTCCTATTATAAGTTATGAACTTATGATGGCAAAAGCTTTTTTTATGTTTGACATAGTTAGCAAAGGAAATGGCCCTTTTTTGCTCTGAAACTATTGGTAAACTTGAAACAGTTTTATGCAAACTTGCTTGTTACATTAGTATGACAACCTTGAATGTTGCAATGAATTATATTCGGGTGAATTCCATCTAAGAAGCTAGAAACAGAACATGAATTCGTTGATTGATTAGTGTTTGTTCTTTTAGTTTCTAGTGGTATTTATTCGAGTCACCGATCAGTGAGCATGATCAATTGGCTCTTTATTCAACTCCATATACACAGGCTGCAGTGTGAAAATGAAGAAAAATACCACATGGAATTGGTTATTAAGCAGTCCACACAATATTCAGTGCCAGATTTTGTGCTCATATGACAGTTGAAGTACACATAACTGCTTTCAATAAGCTTGTGCATTTTATTAATGAAAATACAACAGGTTCTTGATGGTAACAATCTTAAATCAAATATTATTACTTGGGGACTGGCCGATCTTTTCTTCTAGTGGGTTTTTAGAGATGTCAAGAAGTTGATTTCACTTTATCATGGTTTAGCCCGTTTAAAGTTTAACGTTATTTCGTTTTAAATATATATTTCTTGATACTGTGTGGTCCATGATATTAAGGAAAAGTAACTAAAGGAACCTGCACGATTGTTTTTTGTATGTGCAGGTATTAGATGCAAATCCTATTCAATGGATGTCCTTTTACTAGATATTAGAAGCAATGGATGAATGCATCAGTCTAAGATAAGATAAGAAAGCTACTTTTATAGTATTGGAGCAACATTCATAGTACATGCACCATAATCAAACCTAAGATAAGAAATCCCATAGATAGATAGATAGTCATGGCTTCTATTAGTAACCAATACTAAAACAAAAAATGTACATATACATTGTTGTAAAACATATTAAACTTACCTGTTGGAACAGGATGCACGATGAGGAAGTCGATGAGATTGAGTCGATTAGGGTTTAGATTTGATTGAAAGAAGATGGTGAGGGTCGATTAGGTCAAAAGGAACACGATGTGTGCGATTGAGGGATTGAGGGACTGTGGGTGAATGAACAGTCATCAGGAAGAAGAAGAGAAGGAACAGTCTAAACAATGAGAGGGATTGACGTTTTTCATTTTCAAAAAATTGCTTTTAAATTAATTTTTTTTTTTAAATGACACGTAGGATATCCATGTGTAATATGTTATCCTACATGGTTTTCATGTCATTTTAAATTTGACACGTCAACAAAGAAAAACATGTTCAAGAGGTAACAGGTTACCCAATGCTATAATGGGTAAATTTTTGAAAGTACAATGCTCTAATAAAAAATATTTTGAAAGTGTATTGCTGTAATAAGAAAAACTGAAAGTAGAATGCTGTTATAAGAAAAACTGAAAATAGAATGCTATAATAAGAAAATTTGTAAAAGTAGGTTGCTATTTTGTGCATTTTGCCCTGTAAAATAATACTGATTTTGGAAGGATTTGTGTTTCCAATTAATATTTTGATTACCAAAGAAGAAGTAGAATATTGACTCGAATTAAATTATCAATAAATCATACATGGTATTTGTACTATCTTATTAATCAAAGTTTGAAAAATAAGTCTTAATGCATTGAGTAATGCTTATTAATGCATAAAGTCTTAACTATCTTAAAAACAACTTATAAAGCATATAGTACTCCTCTTTTTTGCATAATTTAAAAATGTCCTACGTACAACCTGAGAAACGAAATTTATACCTTCCCAATACCAAATCCAAACTGAAGGTTAATCTTTCCCGGGTTGGCCGCTCTTGTCATAACCTCATCCAAGCCACCAAGGTGATGATTCAAAACCTCCCAGGATAGACGATTCAAACTCCCATTGTGACTAACTATTCACGATTCAAAACCATATGATTTATATGGTTAGGGTTTCATCTTCATGATTCGATTCCACTAGACGGTTAGGGTCTCATCTTCATGATTCGATTCCACTCAAGCTCCTCTTAGGGTTTCATCTCACGATTCGATTCCACTCTGGCTCCTCTCATGCAGTTAGGGTTCTCTTCCACTCTCATATGATTAGGGTTCGTTCTTATGTGTTTTCCATTTGGATTTATCATCGTTCAATTTCATTTATTTACCTGTTTGTCTTGAAATTTCTCCATCTCACTTGCCTGAATAGTTTTTGTTGCGGTCATTGATCCATTTTGTATGATCAAATAGAGATCTCTATTCTCCATCCCAGGTAAGGTTTTACTGATTTCTTACATTCTCAATCTTTTGAACATTTTTCCATCTCGAGTTTGATCATCTTCCTCATTTGATCCCATCTTTTCATTTGATTCTGTGAAATTGACACTTTGATCTGATCTTCCGATTCTTTTAGCCAATCATCTGTTGTAATTTTTTAGTTTGTCTATGTATCTGTTTATTTCTACCAAAATGGGAAAGTGTTCATTTTCTTTTGTAGTAGTTCTATTAGTCTGTTGCTTGAGGTGGTATTTTAAAGACTTGAACAAAGAAAATACTCCATGACAGGAAAAAATACAGCAAATGAAGTTTTTGGAG